TGCATCGTATTCTGCTTTCTCTTTCATTTCTGACACTTTCTCCTTCAAAGCCTCCTTTATGTCATGTTTCTGCCCGTGCGCTTCATCAGCAGACTCACGCTCTAAGATATGATCAAAAGCCTCAATAACAATAAGAACATATCATGTCTCCATTTAAACAGATAGGAGTGCTTGTCCTGTCTGCAGGGGACCAGATTAAATGATTTCCCAGCTGCAAAAGCACTCACAAACAATACAACAGCCATGTCATCTTCATTAGTCTGTCCCTAACATATTGATTAACAGAATATAAATACAGCAGAAATATTCAGCAACCAACCAGCTACAGTGTGAGAGTTTACTGGTCTTTTTATTTAAATTCATGCACATACTCAAAAGTCTAACTCGGCTACTGGGCAGCAGTTCTTCCTGGTGCTTCCCGAGGTTTGTGTCAATCCTAATTGGTTGTCTAAATGTGTGCCAGGGTGAATAATTATTTCCAAACTTCAAAGTGGCTGTTCAGCTGATTTGAGTTGTCCTTTGTTTCCACCCAGCCTTGTTTTTTTTTCTTTTGGTATTTTTTTCCCCCTCTGCTCAAATGAGAAGACATTTCAGAGAAGATGTAATAAATTTCAATCAGGGTGAAGATTCTGCTGAGAGAGTTGTTTTTTTGCCCTGCAGATAACAGCATGAAACAATAAGCTCATTTAAGCTGTGCACACAAAAAAAGGCATTCTTCCTTTGTTTATGAATCATTTTGAACAGTAATGCACACAGATCCTGATTAGTCAGGCAACGTGCACAAGTCTGCAGACATGTAGGACTGTCGTGGTCATACGTTTCTGCTTCTGAGGCCACTTTTCTTATCAGTTGGACTTCCTGCTTTGTGAGCTGACAGGAGGAAATGAAACCCGATCAGGTCCTTGACCTGTTTTCCTGTCGGTGTGACGCAAGCAGGTGACGGCTGCCCCTCTGACAGACGTTGCCCTCAATAAGTTAGTAAATTTAAACTTTTTTTTTATCACATTCATTCATTCATTGTTCACATTTGGGCTTGATAACAAGAAAAAAAGAATAAAACATCAGTGTCAATAAGTAATAAAGAGAAACATTACAGACACTGAGTCAGGGTTGTTTAAGCTGACTCATTTAATTTATAAAGACTGGTTTGAAGAGAAATGACTAAAATTGTTGTCATTTCCAGCTAATAAGAACAGGATAATTCTTTAAAGGAGACATATCCTGAAAAAAAAAGAATAAATAAATAAAATAAAGAAATCTTGCTTTTAAGTTGTTCTTTATCACATTTAAATCATTCAGTTGGGGTCTATAAGAAGTGGAACTTTAATGCTTTGGTCTGAATTCCTCCCTGTTGTAACTCCATAAGCTCCTCTTTCAGCCCTGTTCTGAGGTGTGTCTCAGAATAACCCGTTTTGATGCTGTCTCTTTAAATCCAAACGAGGCACCCCACCTTTGATGGCTGCTTGTTGTTCACAGGGGGCTGAGTCATACTTGCAACAACAGCGTTGTAAGAGGGGTCGATTGGACATGGAGGTCTAACCCGTTTAATGATGGGTGGTTTCTCTTCTCAAAAATGGCTTTGTTTACTCCTTTTTCAAACCAACGTTCCTCCCCATTAAGAATGTAAACATCTTCATCCCTGAAGGAGTGACCACTTACATGAAGATGAGTGTAAACTTATGATGTAGTTCTTCTGTGCTGGGCCATCCTTTTGGTTAGTGGCTACTTTGTTTCCCTGATGTATAACTGGTCACACTCCTCCTGGCACTCCTGTAAACATGTTGATCCACTATGCAAAGGTACTGCTTACAAGGCTGAGCCTACATGCACCACCTCAGACTGAAAATGTCTTGGAGAAGGGACAAAACATTTTAATGCAGAAGAACCTGTCCATATGAGCTGATTCAACTTTGTTAGAATCTAAAGGACTGTTTGGTATTGGAGTTGCATGTTTTAGCAAAAGATTTAAAGAAAAATGTGTTCATAAACCCATCAATTTAGTTTATAAATAGTCAGAATCAACTGTTTCAGTTGAGATGAAAGTCTACTACGATGGACCGGTCCAGGGTGTACCCTCGCTCAATGACTGCAGGACATGGACACCAGTGACCCCTGTAACCTGGAAAGGAGGAAGGGGGTAAAGATAATGGATGGAGTGATTATTGATTTAAAAAGGCACAGCTTGATACCTGATTATTTCTGTTTTTCTTTTAACATCTATTTATTTTTATCTCCACTGTTGCTGCAGTGTGAACTTGTTCATCTGTTTTGTCTCAGTGGAGTTTCCTGAACAAACACCCAGCTTAGAAACTGATACATTTCCTTTGTTGGAACGTTAGGTGTTGACCGTGTTTTGGCATGAAAAGAATGCACACATAAAAAGCTGCTTCGGCTTAAAGTAAATTATCTTTGTCTCCCTGGGTGCCAACCGCTTTGAGGCACAGCATGACACAACAACTGCTCTGACGGAGGCAGGACGCGACATGTACTCGTGTGAAGCACACAGAGACTGAGAATGCTGTGAGAGCACCACATGCACACTCTGATCAGTTGTTACGAACACAAACGCAGCGCCCGCTGTGCCTCCCTCGGTGAAGCCCAGGAGGCAACACCTGGGAAGGTCTGCGTCAACCATATACGACAGCCACAGCTGTCTTAGACACACACACACACACACACACACACACAAACTTGTTTTTATATCCTTGTGGGACCCGTCCATTGACTTCCATTAATTTTTTGGTAATTTTATATCCTAACCCTGACCACAAACCCTAAACCTAACCTCACAGGTACCTACCTGACCCTAAAACTAACCTAAACTCAATTCACACCTTGGTCCTAAACCCAACTCCCACACCCAAAATCAGCCTCTGAAGTTGTGGGGCCCAAGGAGCACCCGGTCCCACGAGGCTGCATTTTCCTAAAAATTGGACCCCACGATGTAGAAAAAACAAGGCCACACACACACACACACACACACACACACACACACACACACACCCTCCCTCCCCCCGACCTCCTTCCTATTTAAATCTGAACACCTTCCCAGA